TTCCATTTTTAGTTAACTAACTGTTATTTAAATACAAATCTAGGCTATTTAAAATGACGGTCTTCATTGCAGACTTTATTTATTAGTATTGCATCACTTTGAGCAATTTGTCGCATCAAATTGGCTTTGAGCTTCGAGTCTTGTTTTGGCATTTTATTTTCGAAAACTTTACAAATTTGCTATGCAGATGATCGTCCTTTGGACTCGAGCTGCTGCTGGCGCCACGAATTGTGATGAACGAGCACTCATTGTTGTAGAAATAAAATACTTGCTACTCGCAGCAAATATATCGAGGATACTCCGCTCACTATATACATATGTATATATATCTATATATTGTACATATATACGAAGCAGTTGTGTCTGTTGTCGCTGGACGTACGAATCGCTGACAGCTGTTGTCGTTGGCACTTCATTGATTTTAGTTAATTGGAAAATTGATTTCAAACTCGTCAGCTATGAGGGCGGATGAGGGGTTTTAATGTCGCAGTGGACTGTGATTTGCCACGACAACATTTTACACTTTAGTTTTTTAATTAAATCGAATTTGAAAATAAAGCTGCCTGCAGTTAATTGCTAGTCTAATATGAAACGTAAGCTTCGTCAGCAGCTTCTCACTTAATTCGCTCACAAACACGTTTAAGTTTAATTGATTTCGCAGATTTTGTGTCCCGCTTAATAAGTTAGATTGCATGCAATTAGCGGGTGAATTCAACTGCCGAAACAATTCGTTTGGCGGCTGTGAATGCGATCACTTCGACACTGCCACGACCAGGATATAGTAAGCTTGTTGCTTACTTTGATATTTTAACGGTACACTAATTATGGCAAATGCAAACTTCATTAATTTGATGCAACAGGCGGACAGAAGGCTAAGAGCCCAACGCTGTTGAAAATGATTTTAGGTGTACCGCTGCAGGCGGTTATGGGTACTGTTTCGGCTGCGCCGGGCGAGGCTTCTTTAAAAGTGCGATATTCTCAGTTTATTAATGTTGGCAGCGTGCGGTGTTGCTATATACGCTTAGTAATGGCTAAATAAGAGAGAAGTGCTGTAGTGCAGGAAAATGTTTGGACATTGACAAGACACAAAGTAAACGGATCTTAAACAGTCAAACAGGATCTTGCCCTTCCTGAAGGAGCAATTATGTTTCCATTTCCAACATAGTCGGGTCTATACAACTGAATCAGATCTTGATCAAAAATGGAAAAGAACTTTAATTCAACTCGATATCTAAATGACAGGCTGGCAAAGCTAAAAAACTTCTCAGAGGATCTCGAGACTGAAAAACTTCCAATTTTTGTGGCAATGGAAGCGTGTAAAGCTCAGAAACAATCAATAACGATTAAAAGGAAAAAGGCATATTTCAAGTAGTTTCAGAAGGTGTATTCTTTTCGAAATAATAATACGGGGCCATACTATTTGTTTCCTCATAATTAATATTCCATATGCTCCTTAACAGTGGAGACCGAAAGCCTCGTAATACTCGTATGTGCTTATCGACTCTAACTTTTTGCTCTGAGAGAAATAACCTTTCGATCTGTATGTGTCATAATTGATAATTAGCAAGCTCAACATAATAACTGACGCTAAGTGCTGTAGTGCAGCTAAAAGAGAAGCAACTGCTTAAGAACTTGAACACAGTCAGCTATATTGAAGTATCAAATGCGTTAGAACTCTAAAAATATGTAGAATTGAGAGCTTTGTGGTATATAAAGCTTCTTAAGAAAGCGCTAAGAAAAAAAAACCTTGAGTATAAAGTCAAAATGTTTTTCCGAACGATACGCAAGAGCTTCAACTCGGTCGGGAATTCAAGCGAACTGCTTTAAGTAGAGTAAAATTCAAGCCTTTAGCACAACTAACCACTGAAATCGCTTAACAACTTGCTACTAGCATATAAGAAGCTAGCGAGGATGAAGCAACTGTTAAGTAGCTTCATAAATACAGCGCAGAGCGGAAAGTGAACTCGTAATTCCTCGGCAGTCACTAAAAGTCGCTGCAAAGTTTCACACGACTGCTTTGCCATTTCCCGCATACGGCAGGTGTGTTAATACGAACCCGGTCATAATAGCTGTAACAATGTTTGGGTGTATGTGTGTGTTGAAAGCATATGGAGGAATTTGAAAATTTGTTTGTGCTCTTGTAACTCGAAAAATGTATGATTTACGTGTATGTTGGCACGCTTCGTTAAATTCAAAGTTCAACCAACACACACACGCATATATATATATATATATATATATTATTATAATATATATAATATATATATATACTCGTGTATAGACGGAGCTAGACAGATAACTGACGAAGTCTTTAGTAAAAAATTAGGGAAGAGTTTGTGCAGCACGTTTGTGCAAAGTTCGAAAGCATTTCAAGTAGTTCAGATAAAGTACATATGTATATATTTGTGCATGTATTTAGATAAATTTAGACAAATAAGGTGGGTTTGGTTTTGGGTAGCTGTGCATTTGAAATACCCGCGAAAGTATAGAAATAAGATGTTGTGAAATAGCTATACAGAAAATCTTCGAAAATTAGTTATGAAATTAAGATTCATTATTGGAAGAAATCGTTTGAATTTTATTTTGAGTAAATACTTTGAATTTCTGCAAAAACCTCGAGCAAACTTCTCTGATGATCTTTTTATGAGAACAAATTAAAAACGAAATGACTGCAAAATAGATTTTTGGAGAAAGTGTCAAAAAGACCAGCACTGAGCGCTAAAGGGTTAAAATGTTGCTGAATATAATTTTTAGTGCTATATAATAATATATCATAATATATATAATATAAAATAAATTTCTTAATACCTGAGTTATTTATTTTATAATTAAAAAAGCTGATTGCCTTCACAAACATACTTTATATGGTAAGTGGGCGTGGTTGTAGTGCTATTTCTCTCTTTTTTATATGCTACTCAAAATATTCATAAAAATTATATAATACTATTGAAATTTCGTGCACATCCGTCGATTATTTTTGGAGTTATGAAACTTCACCTAAATATTTGCTCATATTCTTTTAAACGAAAACTCTTGTTCATTTCTTTTCTACTTCTACTCCTAAGCATTTCATCTATTGTACTTCTTCTTACTCTTTTTCTTCGTATTGAAAATGTTTTTAAGCATTTAGCACTTTGCACTTTAACGCTCTTGGTGGTCTCACTGCAATCAATGTCGCACAGCAATTGTCATCCTCCCACGGTGAATGTCCTTTGTGCGCCAATTGTGAATTCCTTTCAACGCCGTTAGATATATACTTATGTATGTATACATATATGTATATACGAGTAGTTATATGTGTGTGTATACACACCTAAATATGCAATTACAAATGTGTCTCGGGCGTATTGTCACTTTCAAAAGTTTGGCAATAAAATTTGTGTTAAGTGATTTTATGGTCTTTAATGTGAACATTGTCTAAGATAGAGGCACAAATACATAAATACATATGTATGTACGGAAGTATATATGTATATGTAAGTGTGTTTGCTTGTATATATCTATTACAGAGTTTAAAATATGTAAGCCGACGTGAATTGCCAACTAATTGGTGGTGAATAAATTATTTAGATACTTTAATGGTTGTTTATTGGTATGCCTGCATATACATAGATATGTATGTATACATGTTTGAGTAGCTTTAGCTTTAAGGATCAATATTTATTGAGCGTAAAATATAAATTAGATTCGTAATGTTTCATAGCAGTCATGCAAAAATTAAAGAAAGAAAAAATTGTTTGATAAATTAAATATATAAACCACAAAAAAATAATTCAGGTATCACCATAGAGTGTTAAATATTTGGTTGCAACCGCACTTAGCCCTTCCTTACTTGTTTCTGTTGAGGATATTTTGGCAAAAAATTTATTATTCACAGTTGGGTAAAACATTACAAAAAATTAATTCATTTTATTAAAATTATTCCATTACAAATAAATAAAATATATAAAATTTTAATAAAAAAAACGATGATCTTTTACTTATTAATTTTTTTATTTCAGCAATTTCTTTGCTTCTAAAAAATCGACAAATTTCAAGAACTAAAAAAAAAGATCGCTCGAAAACCAAAGGCATACAGTGAATTTTTTACTTTTTCACAACAACAACATCAAAGTATTATATTTGGTATTATTCATGTTCACAATAACTCCAAAAACATACTTTGTATATAGACAACTGATAATGAGCCCATTTTGTTTATTGTTATTCTATTGAAATTTCCGCATGCTAAGAAATGAACAAATGGATTCGGCGAACAAATTTTGGCAATTTGCAAATGAATTCAGAGAAAAAGCATAATTCTGCCACACTTTCGTTTTCAGCTACTTGAGATATTCCGATTAAACACCAAGCAGCGTAGTATGTACGAGCAAAATTTGGTAACCTCCATGCCCTGTACTGGGTTTTTTAAGTTTTCCACGAAATTTGCAACACCCACAAAGAAACGTCGGATACCCTATAAAGTGTATATTTAAATATATAAATGATTAGCATGCTGAGCTAAGTAGATTTTGTCATGACCAGCTTTTTGTCTGTCCGCCGATCTGCTTTGACATTCTGCGCAAGAAGTTGCTCATTTTTCGAAATCACCGATATCGTACTCCTATTGCTTATAGCTGCCATACAAACTAAACGCTTAAACTCAAGTCCTTAACATATATATGAATATGTTCGTATATGAAAACTTTTTCGTTAGACGAGATATCTTTACGAAATTTGGCTTGGATTATTACCTAAGACAATGCTCCAATATCCGTAGAAATTTTTCAAATAAAACCAGCATATAGCTGCCATACAAACTGATCGATCAAAATCGATTAATATATTTTTTATACCTTTTAATGCTATAAAGATGCATTCGTGAAGGGTATTATAGCTTCGGTGCAGCCGAAGTTAACTTTACTTCTTGTAATCCACGAAAAATCACCTATAGAGCGAAATCACTTTTGTTGATTTCTATGAAAAAAGTCGACTATGTTTTATTCAATAAAATATTTTTTAGCGATTATCGATATACATATACATATGTACTTATAACTTGGAATTTAATATTTTTGTAATTGCTTATCAGCAGTTGAACTGAGCTAACCTTAATATTGATTGTGCCGAAGCGACTTGACTTGTTAGCTGCTAGACAGCAGTCTCAACAGTTTATTTTGCGAAACCAGTTTGAAAGGGTCTGTGAGTGGAATCAGCATCTCTGGAATTATTTAATTATAAAACTAATATTATTAAATGATTTTGTGATTTTTTTGTTTTACTTTTTAAAGCATAAAAATTAATCAATTGTCTTCTGCAATTTTCTAGCACAAAAAGTACTAGCGATGTTCTGTAAAGTGGCACTGATTTGTTTGCTAGGGATAACAGCGACAAATGGCCGCATATTAAACGATAGGAAATATCCATTTTATCGCCCACAAAACACAAATGAGCTCTACCCAAGAGCAGTTATACCAGATTACACTTCAAAGGACTATGGCGATGCGTCGAAAATCGTAGGTTTATCGTTCAGCATGGCGCCCCCCTGTTAGTATACATACTATTTTAAGGCACTGTACATTTCGTTGTAAAACACTCACTTTATTTTTTCAGCACGCGATTTATTGCCGCCCTATGAAGATTACGGTGGCGCGCAGATGTATACGAATGGAATCTTTCGAAGCGAGTTACCTGTTTGGCAGTTTCGAAACGAAAGACTAGCGCAAGATGAAGAAGTCGAACAATTGGACTCGCAACCCTACCCTTACGAAGTTCTTAATCGCGTTTTACCGAAGATAGAGGAGCCCACCGATTTCCAACCGCTCGAGAATCAATTGCAGACGCAAGAGCAACAGATAAACCAAGTTGCGGGCGATGTAAAAATTGTACAGCAAAGTATTAACGAGTTCGAGAACTATCTGAAAGGTGTTGCTGCAGTTTTAGTACCGCAAAATAAGGCTCAAATTGGAGTTATAGGCATTAGTCTGAAGCTGACGCCCAAGCTTGGTGAGGTGCAACTGGATAATCTTTATTCTAGTATGTTTGGACAAGATCCCACAGAAGCAAATAGCTCAGAGAAGGAAAAAGAATTGGATAAATTAATTGCAAGTATGATTGAAGAAGACTCTACATACAGCAGTGGCTTAGAGAAGGAAAAAGAAGTTGCAAATATAATTTCAAGCATGATTGTAGCAGACTCTTCAGATGGCGATAGCGAAGAGAAGGAAAAAGATTTGAACAAACTTCTTGCGAATTTGTTTGAAGACGATTACAGCGATAACGCAAAGAATCTTATTCAAAAGACAGACAAAAACAGTGACGAGGAGGAGGACTTAAATAAAATGTTTGCTGGGGAAGCTCCGAAAGAAAAAGGCGGAAAAATAGAAGCAAGAGATATATATTACCTTTTTGGTCTGTAAAAAGGTAATATAAATCGCAAAATGATCAGGGTCTTGACTACGATATAGAAGGGGCAGATGATTTAGAGAATAGCCCATTTGACTACAAAATAAATTAATCTGTATTTAAAAAGCTTACCAGACTTTCATTTCAGTTATTAATATTTCATTTATTTTATTTTAGATAAATATTTGCTTTTGAGTTTGAGTCTGTGGTGATCAAATAAGCGAAAAACTGTTTCAAAAGTACTTGCCGCTTTCTTCTTTCTTAAGATTAAATAAAAATGCCTCAGAAGCTTTTTACTTTGATCACACTAGTTGTACTCAAAAGTGTTTATCAGCCTAACTTTGAAAATTTTTTTAGTATTGGCATAATTTGGAGTCTAGATTTGCGGACCTATAGAAAAAAAGCTTTCGAGCTTGTATACTAACTTCTGCCAAAGGAAGAATACTTGACAGCATAAACTTCATCTGTAACATCGAAAAGTTCAAAGATAAGTAAAAAGGAAAATTAGAGTCTAAAATATCGCAACTACAGACTTAGCCAAACTGAGCATTAAAGCTTAGACTTTGCTTAGACTTTGCTTTAACCTGTAATCAAGGTTGTTAAAGGTAGAACCGTTGGTTTAATCACCTCTTAATAAGCAACGGCAAGTCTTCGAGTGTTTGTTTTTATATTTTGCATAAAAAGCTCTAGCCAAATCACTTAATACAGCGTCACCTGCCGGCAGAATAGCGGTCAACGTACTAAGTGAATGGAGCGCACTAATATGGCAGCCAATTAAAATTTCAAAGAGTTAAGAAATTCATAATGAGTTTTCTTTCGCCGAAATTCCAAAGAAATACAGTAACAGCCGAAAGCTTTGAATGGTTTTACCTTGAAATTGGTTTGTTGAAATAACCAAGTGAACAAAAGATTTTTTTTTGAGACGATGCCCACCGATATAGCGGCACTTTTGTATGAAACTATAGAAAGGGCTAGTATGGTTAAGTGCAAATGAGGTTATGGCAAGTTCAAGATGCTTAACAAAGCTCTCTATAGGCGGTTAGCAGAGTAGCAATGGGCGTTCTTAAATTCTTAAGCTGTTGTGCTAATTTGACGGATATTTACTTAGGCTTCTTTTTAACCGTTATTTTGTATTGTTGCTCATTAACGATGCGCTGATTTACTTTTTATGAAGGAATGCAAGTCATCAAGCCATGAAATGAGTTTTCAACATTTGTAAAGCCACATAACTACATATATATTTCGGGGTTTCGAAGTATGATTATTGCAATTTTTAATGGCAAACTGGCATTGAATTACAAGCCAAATTATACAAGAAAGAAAAATACAAACATCCACCTGCGAAACCATGGAAAATTTATTTTTCATTTAATTTCAACTTTAATTACTTTTGTGTATTTCGATATAAATGCGAAGGTTGCGAAAATTGCAAGCAACTTTGAAGAAGTTGAAAAAGTTTTGATTTGAATCCGCTTTAGTGGACATAAAAGAACATTAGTTCGTATGCCTGTGAGTAGGAAGCGTAAAGCTCGTATCTAACTTTTACTTCTACATCGGGAAGTTATTAGGTAAGTAAATAATAGAGAAATTAAAAAAAAAACTTATGCTTAGATACAACTGCAAATTATACTTAATAATAAAAATGAATTTTGATTAATTTGGTAGTTGCAGCAAGCAGAGCTTTTTCGGGAAAATAGCCAAGTCGTTCCATACTTGGCCTTATCGGTTTATATCCCATTCACAACGTATAGGGCTGAAGTCTTTGCAACCGTGCCAATGTAGACGTAAGTTTTTACCCCGATTTTTATCCGGTCAAGCACTGTCAACTCCGCAGCTTTCCTCCAAATTACTTCAAGAATATTTTTTACTTCTAAAAATTCCACCAAACCGGATTGTAGTCTTTCATTTATTTAGTCTAACCGCTAGTATAAAATATTCTGTCTGATTCGTATAAGAACTGGTCAATCTAGGTCTAATGAGAGTATCTAAATAAAAACCTGGGTGGGTTAATTAGGTCAGACCTACATTATTAAAGTGCGGCTGTTGCCCTACGTGATTACAACCACTAAGTTTAGTCTCTAAGCTGCTCAGTCAACGCAGCCTTCTGCTAAGTGCAAATGGAGCTGTCTAGAAAAATGAGCCCAATATCTCCAGAACTGAGTACTTACTTTCATTTAAAGCGGAATCTGAATCAAGTCGAATTTAAAGTTTAGTAATAATAAGTAATAATATGCGCGAGTGCAACGGAAATTCTACGGAATAATGAAACCTTTATATTTGTGTTCTTTAAAGTCCGTCGAATGAACTTGATTTACGCCAAGCTTTTCACTTCAATTACGAACGTCGGAGCTCGCACAAAGCGGCAAAGTTATATGCATTTTTATATATTTATATATATGTGATTTTGTATGTATATATGCATGTGGGTGTGTGTGCGAAGGCAGCGCGCTGACAATGAAAATACTTTATGCGGAAAATTTGAGCGCTCACGTCATCATATCGGTGCCAATCAAAGTAAAATATTTATGAATATTCGCAATGAAGGCAACAATGCCACAACTACCGCTAAAGTTTGTTGCAACAGCGCATACATACACACATACTCGCGCACGAGAGTAGCAGATTTTTATTAAATTTCAATGAAGCGCAATCATATACGCCAAGCGTTGAGCGATTTTTTCGCTGCTTTTGCTTTTTATTTGTTATTTTTATTTTATTTTTTGTTTGTTTTGACTTTTCATTTGTTTTTGTATTTTGTTTGCACATTTATGGCAATCGAAAATCGCAACATAAAAATTTTATAACAATACTAAAATATCTTTTTTCACAAACGGCCATACGCCGCGGGTAGGCAGCGGCAGCAAGCAATGGCATTGATGACCGACAAATGCCCGTTCAATGCAATGCAACATTACCGCGAATTCCATTCGGAGGCATTCAAATGATTTTTATTTCATGCGATTTATTTCCAATTTTTTCCCATTTCTCTTTTTGTTTTTGTTTTTCTTGGTTGCCAACGATGAAAGCATCAAATTGCAAAGGCTTTCAATGACTCATTCGTTAACCCTTCCTGTTGTATGGGGTATGCATGTGGGAAGCGGCAAACGGATATTGAATTTAATATTAGGGTGGTTGAAAATTTTCAATATTTTGATCATACTTTATTTTAAATTCTTTCTTTATTAAATTGTTTGTTTGTTTTATTGGTTATAATTTTGGTATTAATATTTTTGATATAATAAAGCTTTTGTTGCATAAGGGTGGTAAAAAAATATTGAAAAAAAAAATTTTTTTTACTCAAATTTAGTTAATGTTCCGTTTGTGTTGAAGCTGAATATTTTACAACGAGTGAGTAGTGGCGGACGCATATTTGACTTACTATTAGGGTGATGGAAATTTTTAATTATTTAATTTCAATTTATTTTAGTTGTTGTTGTGTTATATTTTGGTGTTTGTTTTAATTTTTATATGAAAAGATTTTGGGTATAAAATAAACATTTATTGCGTTAGGGTGGTAACATTTTTTTACCATAATATTTGTCTATTGTTCCAGCTGTGTTGAAGCTGAAGATTTTCTATCTATTTTGGGTCTCCAAAGAGGGAGCAATGAAGCATCGTACGGATTTTTAATTTAATATTAGGGTGGTTAAGACTTTCAACAATTAATACTTAATTTATTTTAAATTTCGCGTTTTTTTATTTACTTTTTCTACGTTTTGATTTTATTATTAATATTTTTAGATATAAAAAAGCATTTATTGCATTAGGTTTTTATTTATTTTTTGGTTTTTGCTTAGCAAAAAACTCTGGTTTATTCCAGCTGTATTGAAGCTGCAGATATTCCAGCAACTAGTAGTCGCCAAAAAGCGTGAGAAGCATTGGACTTATGTATATATATATATAAAAAAACGGAAATTAGACAAAATATTTAGAATAAAGAAAGTATCTGTTGCATTAGGGTGGCAAAAAATTTTGTTTAAGGTTTAAGCTGAAAAATTTGTATTAAGTTTGGTAAGTACTCTCACTACTCACAGGCTGTTAAAGATAATCAATGAAAATGTTGTAACTAGTTACAAAAGGGGCCAATAATGGACAAAAAATAACAGAAAAACTTTGGTATTATGTAATATAGTGTAAATGTAACAAATATTCAACATTTCATAACAAGAATACTTTAACATTACTTGCAAGTATTATTGGTTTTGACTTGGAAGTACTAATCTTATAAGAAACCCGCCTTAAGTCCTCTTTCAATAACAACACTATGGCATATTTCAAATTATTGTGGTTAAAAATCGTCGTGTTAGCATTGCGAATACTTTTTATTTTAAAAATATTTTTTTAATTTAATTCAAAAATATAGCAATGCAATATTTGAGTTCAAAATTCTTTCAATTTTCGATTAAAAAAATTATCTAGCATTTTTCTTTCTGTTTCAAAAGTTTTTTTTAACAATTTGGATTACAATTTCGTAAAACAATTAAATTTAGTCTAAAAAATATAATACCACAACGTTTTTAATGTCATTTAAAATTTCTAAATTAAAAATAATTTAAAATTTCTAAATTAAAAATAATTTAAAATTTCTAAATTAAAATTATTTTTAATTCAAAAATTTCGATCGAAAAATAATTTTTTAAAAGTTTATGGTGGTAATTTTTAAACAATTTAACTTAGACTAAACGTTGCTAAACAAATCTTAACTAAAATAATAATTTTTTATGCAAAAATCCACTTTGTGCGTTTGTGGCAACTTCATCTTATGATATTTTTGTTTGTTAATTATTAAAAAATTTTACTTAAGTTCACCTTTACTTTTTTTAATAATTAAAAAAAAAGTTATTTATAATAATTAAATATTTTTCATCTAAATTTACCGTTACTTGTTGTGTTGACTATTTAAGACTATTTTGCAAAATATAATACTTTAACTGACTTTTCATAATTTTGCAGGAAATGCTTATGACTAAGCCTTATACTTGCATAATTATTTTCTTTCATCAGTAAGTGAAATCTTACTTTTACCCCTCCCTCACGCCCGCCAAAATTTTCAACCAAACTATTGTTGATTACTTTCTAACCAAACTCCGACGCATTTTACAGCTTTGCATACATTTAGGCGCGCACAATT